AGGAGAACGGGGTCACTGGATCCGGCGGCCCCGGCCTCCTCACGGGGAGATCCGGCGACTCGTTGGTAGGGAGCGGCAATGGTGGCATGGCGAGTAGGTTGAGGGAGTGGAGGAGAAGGGAGGCTGCAATGGCGGCACGACGAGTAGGTTGAGGGAGTGGAGGAGGAGGGAGCTGCGGCGGCGACGACGCACGCGAGGGAAGGAGGACGGTGAGGCTGCGGCGCGATTGGAGGAGGTGGGCAAGGCGGCGTGCGTGGGGAGGAGAGGACGGGCGGCTAGGGTTTGTACTGGCTGAAGAATCCAGACCATCCGTTTCCAATCCAACGATCTGACGATGGTGGAAGGGTAGTCATGCTGGGACACGTGGACGGTCAAATCGGCCTTAGCTTGTGATCCGACGGGCCACGTTAACGGGGATGTACACGCTATTAGCGGAAAGAGCAAGGGTTTTTCTGAAAAAAAAATGATGACGTGGCGCCCTAATCCTCAGCCATTCCCACGGCTTTTAAGTAAACAAATTGCTCATGTTCATGTACTTGATTCCATCATCTTCAGAATGTGTTTTAGGTTCTCCCTTTTCTCCCTGTAATGCATTGGCGCAGCTAGTTTGAAATTATGAATGTTAGTACCTGACGTCCCTGTACTGCATTTGTGCAGATAGTTACCTGACAATGTTCTACTAACTGAATAGCAATGTGCTGTACTTGACAAAAGAAAAGCCTCAAACCTGTTCTAAGCAAATGAGGGGGTGTTTAGATCAGGGGTGTAAAGTTTTTGCGTGTTACATCGGATGTTTCATGGGATGTGGCATGGGGTGTTCGGATACTAGTGACAAAACTAATTACAGAACTCGCAAGTAAACCACGAGACGAATTTATTAAGCCTAATTAATCCGTCATTAGCAATGTTTACTGTAGCACCATATTGTCAAATCATGGAGCAATTAGGCTTAAAAGATTCGTCTCGCAAAATAGTCGCAAACTGTACAATTAGTTATTTTTTAGACTATATTTAATACTTTATGCAGGTGTTCAAACGTTCAATGTGATAGGGTGTAAAATTTTGGGGTGGATCTAAACAGGCTCTGGAAAAGAAAAAGAAAAAGAAAGAGAAAACTACCATGATGGATAGCACAATGTTACCTAGAAGAGGCCCGTGGTCACATTAAAAGTCAGTGCTGCTACAGGGAGAAACTATTCTAACTTTTGAGGGGACAGCCACTGGTGTCTAAACCCAAGCTTCTGCATTCTACTCGACGCTTCAGAAAACAAAATTTGATATGTTTTCTAAAGTCAGGGAGACCAAATACTATTCGAGGGTTGTGAGTGTAGTGTTGCATGTGTAGTGGTGTATGCGTGTGTCTGCTGTGTAATCTCAAAAAAAAATTACTATGAAGAAATCCAAGGTTTGAAGTTGTCATTTGCTATTCCTTGATTCATTAGCAGGGTGACTTTCCACCCTTATTTGGATAATGCCCAGCATCGGTCGACCGGGGGAGGTGGGAAAATCGGTCGCTCCTCCTCCCCCATGTGCGCACCTGTTTGGGCCAACCCACTTCTCCCTCCCCTTTTTTCACAAAAGATGTTTCACCCAGTGTACCTACAATGTTTCACTATTTATAGATTTAATGTTGCAGTGAATTAAAATATTCTTTTGCAACAAAAAACCCACATATTTTAGAAACTCTCTATTAAGGGAATTTGGTTTATTTTTTATTTCACCAAAAATGTTTCACCTAGTGTACTCACAATGTTTCACTATGTATAGATCTAATGTTGCAGTGAACGAAACATTCCATTGCAAAAAAAAACCACATATTTTGGAAACCCCCTATTAAGGAAATTTGGTTTATTTTTTGTTCCACCGAAAAATGTTTCACCTAGTGTACTCACAATGTTTCACTATGTATAAATCTAATGTTGCAGTGAACTGAAATATTTTTTCGCTATTTGCTGAAACATGGTTTTTATATAAGGTGAAACAACACCCGATTTAAACGAGTGAAACATTTTTAATCTACTTAGTGAAACAATTCCGATATACCTGGTGGAACATCGCGCAACATTTAATAATAATTCAATAATAAGCTAATTTTTTTCATTGGAATATATCCATGTGTGGTCTTGTTTTGAATATTTAATTGCAACGAATTTAATGGTACAATCGGATCATGATTTGGATAAGTAATTTAAGAGACAAATCAGTTTAAAGTAGTTTTTGCATGTAGCGCCCGATTTTAACCTCCTCCCATCGGGCGCCCGAGCGGGAGTCGCGTCCCACTGATTTAGGTTCAAAAACATTGTCAAGAAGTATCAAATATCAAGAAAAAGGATGCATGGTGAGGGGGAGAACCAAAGGTGAGATCGGTAAACACGAACGGCTATGGTCATGATCTGGGGACAGGTAAAGATCTTACTCCTATTTTGCTGTAATAATGTGTGAAAAAATTGTTAACAACTGTTATTGTCTATTTAACTGTTATATCACCTCCTAACTTAATCTTTTACCCCTTGCAAAGCTTAACATTCTCTAGTGTGATCATACAAAGATTATGTCCTCCATCATTGTGATGTAAAAAGTTTGATGGAGTGTCCAGCTTTCAATAGTTGTGATAAGTTTGAATTGTCCATCTTTTTCTGTAAGTGATCAAAGCCAGATGGACGGAGTTGTTGATATCCCTACAAACTATAACTCTTATATATTGCATGTGGGGGACTGGAGAATATAATTGCCAACATCATGTACAAAATATGGCATCACAAGTAGTAAACGAAATCATCTTCCACAAAGAAGAATAAAATTCATAGGGAGCTGCCACAATGCTCTCTGTCATAACATAAATATAAAATATTAGAAGATGTCTTTGCACATTAGATGCAAACAAACAAGAATGTTATCATTAGTAGCGCATAAGACATACATAAATATTATTTTTCCCATATATCCTTTTATTACACATCTATCTATCTATCTATCTATCTATCTATCTATCTATCTATTATCTATCTTCTATTATATACTAAAAGTCCATTAAACTTCATATAAACGCTCTCAAGCTGACATGTGGCATCCTCAAAACGTTCTCAAGCCGCCACATGGCACAACAAGATAAATCAGGACCCACATTTGCAGCCCCGTACGATGCATGGTGTATTTGTGTGTATAGAAAGCGAGGACCCACATGTTCAGCCCAGCACGATGCATCCATCTCACGTAGATTAGTTTGATACTTTCGTATAAGATATCAAATCTATCTCTTAGCAAAAGCAAGCTAGATTAGTTACTCCTACGGGACTAGCAAATTATATCTCCTACATACAAGACGCTGTTAGTAAATTATATATCCTACGTAGCTCAATGATAAAATTTGGATTTACAATTAAAATTCATATTTTTCATCAATGGACAGATTCAAAATATTCACAATCCTAACGCCACAAAAATTTTAACAATTTATATAAGGTGCCTGTTGTTTTAAAAAGTTGAATAGATCCATCATTTTTCAAGTTTGTAATAATTAAAATCAAATAATCATGTCCTAATTGTTTTCTACACACCCTAATTTTATCTTTATATATTTCTATTATATACTAAAAGTCCATTAAACCTCCTACAAACGCTCCCAAGCCGTCATGTGGCCGCCTAAAAATACTCCCAAGCCGCCACGTGGTATTCTAATAAAATTGAGAAATCTGGTCATCGATTTTTCTTTAAATCGGTGAACCGATTATTTTAGAATGTTAGATGTATCTTTAAAAAAACCAAAACCTATAAACGTCCGCACCTCCGTGCAGCACACACGTATTGTACGCTACCTCTGTTCCTTTCTCTTTTTTTTTCATCCTAATCACAATTAAACTTAAAATTAAACTTAAAACATTCAACCATTGGTTTCTACTTAAATCGATGGATACATTATTTTACGTTTGTTATTAGATTTATTTTTTTAAAAAAATCCCAAACAATTAGGACATTAAAGTACATAAATACTTTACTAAGCTGCTACTAATCTCGCTTAAATTACAGAAAATCCTAATAAATCGGAAAAAAAATAAAACATCCTACCATTAGTTTTAACTTAAACATCAACACATTATTTCAGATCATTAGATAGATCAATTTTTTTAAAAAAGACATCCCAACTTTCCCTCCATCCCTATTCCTGTGCGGTGTGCGGCATTACTTTTCTCTACTTTTTCTATCTCTATAACAATTAAAATTAAAATTATCTTTATGGACAAAGAAAAGGCCATGATTTTTTTTTACCTTGAAGAAAAGAGCACAATTGAACCTCCACATATTAGGTCTAGCCAGCTATCCCTATGCCCCTTATGATTTGTTTGAATTACCATATTTTTTATGTGAGATCAATAATTTAATACATATTGACTATATTTTGCTAACAAAAATTTACATTCTGGACCCACATCCATATTAAGGACTCCACTAAATAAAAGAAAATTCTAAAATTTCTCACTAAAATTCAAAATATCCCACCTTAAATTTTCATAAAACTGGTAGGCCCAGTACTTATATTCCGTTAAACATCTAATGACTTTCCATCTACTTAATTATTTTTCTCTAAGCATGTATATAAGAGCTATTTACCTATACAATTTGATATTGATCTTTTATCAATAAATGATATTTTAAGAGATAAATAAATAATCTTAAGATGATCATAACATCTAAATTATATATGTGATATATGAAGTCGCGTGACCAATCGAATATCATATTGATCATACTAAGCACATATTGGCTACACCAAGGAATCCTAACAGTGAAATAACCATGTTGTGGCCTTAGCAATATATAAGTTAATTCCATATAGGAATTAAAAAATGTCAATTTAAACTTGCTATGGTACATCATGAATTCCTAGCATTTAGCATAGAACAATCTAGAAATGTGTATTTGTTACATGACACTTCAGTTTAGTGGTAATTTGCTAAAAAAAACTTCAGTTTAGAATGTTATCATTAGTAGCGCATAAGACATACATAAATATTATTTTTCCCATATATCCTTTTATTACACATTACTACTAAATATCTTTCTCATAACTAACAATCAGAGCCACAGATAAGAGGTTGGATGAAGGAAAACATCTTCTCCCTAATTGTGTGATGCTGAAATCATCTTCCTGGGGTTCGGTATAAGCCATATAGGGACTGGCCAGTTGGACCAAAGCTCCGGAGATACTATCGGCTCGATGGTATCATTTTCCAAGTCGAGGACTCCAGTATCGCGGCGGTTCTTCTTACACCTAAATAGATATAAGCTATCATCTTCTGTAAAGTAGATATGATTTGGCTTCAACTGTGGATATACATCAGCATTTAGACAAAGAGTTTGATTATACCCAAGAAACAACACACTGTTACCTAAGCTGTTTATGTCCACAAGCATTTTTGCAGAAAAATCCACTTTAAATACTTTAATCATGTTGGTATTTACCACAAGTGAATCAGTGTTTGGCTCGGGCTCCAAATCATCCTCATCCTCATCCTCATCTGACTCAGGCTTCAAACCATCTCCAGCCCTCCAATTCTCATGTTCTGATGCATGTTCCAAATCATCCTCGTACTTGTCTAACTCAAATTGTAGAACATCTCCATCCGTCTGATCCACATAATCGTCAATCCAATTCTTATGGTCTGATCCATGTTCTGAATCATCTCCATCTGTCTGATCCACGTAATAATCGTCGCGATTTGTGGCCAATGACCTCCAAATTTGCAACAAATCACCAGAGGGAGCTCGAGCAAAGTACATGTTCTCCTCGATGTATGCCTTTACATCCTCCAGAACCACCTTTTGAGTTACCGTAGGGGCACTGAGATCAAACGCATGGACTTCTCCTGCTGAATTGAGTGCATAAAGCAAGCCATCCTCAAACAAACAATCCATGAAATCAGTGTGAGGAGGCAGCCAAGTCCATTTATCACTCCCTGCTCTTGCAAATGAAAGTTGCGCTAGCGGATAATGGATGAGCGCTACAAAGTAGTCCCCCATGGATGGATCAGATGACAGAAATGCCTTTTTAAATATGTATTTCCGAAGCAACCTAAGAGAATATGTTGAGGGTTCAGCCCAATTGTGCTGACCGCCAACATGACATGGGTACTCGTACTTGTGAACAACGCCGGCGTCATCGTAGACAGGCTTTACCGGCTTAATGGTGGTGACCGTAGGCAAGTTGATCTAGTCACCTGTGATGGGGTTAACGAGATGCAGCTCAGATCTCTCGTCTGCCGTGATGATCCAACCATGAGAGGACCCGATTATATACCTGCTACGGATAGGTGGATCTGGCATGGTTAACTTGTATGCCCTCTTCTCCGCGAGGCTGTAGAGGCATGCCACATTCTCACCAGCAGATTCAGAGGTGTAGAGCAGGCATGGCGTCTGAGCCTGCCTGTAGCCTCCAAGTTTGCATAGACTGATATACGAAGCGCGCCATGAGGAGCACACCGAGCCAGCACGAACGAGGTCAGGGACCTCCAGGAGGGCAAAGATCTCCATCAGCACATCCTGCGGCAGCTCCGGTGAATTTCCTGCCTTGGCTTCTTTCAAGAATTTCTCTGCAAAACTTGGGAAAACTTTGGAGATTGTACAGCCCATATTGCCTGTTAAAAAGAACCTGGCTCTTGGATGTCTTGCTATCCTGGAATGATTTCTGAAGAAAAGACTCCAATGTGACCTGATCGCTCTGAATTTATAGCTCCCCAACCCGAGCAGGACGAGGAAATCTCACCAACTTCAGTGGTTAAATGAGAACATGGGCAGATTTCCGTGTAAACTCTGGATCAGAATCGGACTTGCAAAAGTTGGCAAATCTTCAGAGTTCAGAGTTTGTACAGTAAAACCCTGGCTCTTGGCTCTTGCAATCCTGGAAGAACTAGTTCTGTTGTGATTTCTGAAGAGAAACTCGCAATCTTGGAAGCAACGTGACCTGATCCCCCTATATTTATAGCTCCCCAATCCGAGCAGGAGGGAATCCGACCAAACATCAGTGCTTGCGTCAGAACAGAATTCCATCTAAACTCTGGATCGGAATAGGACTCTGACTCAAACGGAATACGATTCCATCTCGTGAAGACGGAAGACGGAAGCGTGGTCGCGTTCGTCGCCACCGTATTTTTATCCAGTTTCCAATGATCTGAACGAAAAAAATTAAATGTCTCGAGCGGAAAAGCAAATCAAAAGGTCAGCGCTGACCGCTGATCATGACAATAGGTGTGAAGACCGAGGTCTCCTTCGTTCCTCGCACGAACAAAACATCCTGTGGTTGCATGATACTCCCCCAGCATGAGAAAAAGAAGATGACGAAGAAAAGATAAGCATGAGAAAAAAAAAGATAAAGTAAAAGAGAAAAAAGAGGAAGAACTAAGGTGTCGATAAAAATGCAACCGCGTCTGCGAGGAAGAGAAAAGATGAAGCATGAGAAAAAGAAGATGAAGCAAAAGAGAAGAAAGCGGAAGAAGCATCGTCATTACGAATCAGACGAACCGGGGACTTGCTCCCAAAGTTCTCCAGGAAGCATTGGAGACAGATGGTATGATTCTTCTTGCATTTGGCGTTTGCTTCCTTGAAAGACATTTGCTTGATCTTGAGGCTGTCTTTACACATGACTTCTCTTCGGGACACCCAAGAAGATCGAAAAGAAGGATGCGACAGCACAAGGTCGTGGTCGTCGAGGCGGCGCTGCTACCGCATATCCACGGGGAAGTCGCCATTGCTGTGCTTGGTCCGCAGCGGCTTCTTGATCCCCTCCTTCCCGGAGGGCTACTTGATGGCCTCCTCGTCATGGGCCTTGGTGGAGGTTGACGCAGAGGCGCCACCTCCCCACCACGAGCTGAGCCGCCGCCGCCGCCGGTGAAGCAGATCGCGTCTGTGGGTGGCGTGGGGTTCCCCATCAACGGATCGAGGTGCAGACGCAGCTGCTCATGGCGAACGGCGCGGCGGCGCCGGGTTCGCGGCCGACGCCTTTTCGTCCGGGGACGAGATCGACGAGGATGCCGTGGTGGAGCTCGGCGAGGCGGATCCCGTCAGCAGGAAGCGGCGCAAGGAGAAGGAGAAGAAGAAGCGGCGCAAGGAGAAGAGGAAGCAGCGGAAGTGGGCGCCGCCCGACAAGGACGAGGTACGCGTGGGCCTTTCTACTTATCACTCGTGCTCTACTTATCTCTTTATTTAGTTCACCTTCCCATGCCAGAATTGAGTTGGATTGTGAGCTGTGCTTGAACCGAATATTAGGCCTTGTTTAGGCATCCCACCCCAAAACTTTTCGCCTGTTAGATAGAACGTTTGAACACCTACGTAAAGTATTATATATAGGCTTAAAAAAATAATTAATTGTACAGATTGCGACTAATTTATGAAACGAATCTTTTTAGCCTAATTGCTCTATGATTTAACAATGTGGTGCTACAGTAAATATTTGCTAATGACGAATTAATTAGGCTTAATAAATTCGTCTCGCAGTTTACTAACGGATTCTCGCGGTTTGATTAGCCCTAAGTGCTATAGTAACCCATATGTGCTAATGACGGATTAATTAGACTTAATAAATCTGTTTCACGGTTTCCAGACAAGTTTGAAATTAGTTTTTTCATTCGTATCTGAAAACCCCTTCCGACATCTGGTCACTACTGGAGAAACCATCTTTGCTTGGTTGACCAAAAACTACACTAGTCTCGGTAGAGAAGGCGGAGACGTTGGCGAGCGGCGGGAGCTCAACGGCGGCGGCGACATCCTGTCGGCGACGGAGCACTTCAACGATGCGTACTCCATCGGCAAGGGGAGCTTCGGGACCGTGTACAGCGCCGACCTCGGCGGCGGGCGCACCGACCTCGGCATGAAGCGGCTAGACGCATCAGAGACCGGCGACGCGTGCTGCGGTAGCTGATGCCGGTGAGCGTCACTACGTAGAACGTCGGCACCGAGGGGATGCGACGCATCGGTGTGAACGAGAAGCCAAACGCTGTGTTGCTGCTGTTGGGCGTGCCGAGGGCGATAAAAAGCATCGTGTTGCTGTCGAAGAAGATCATAGAAAGAGAGGAAGAAGAACAGAGAAAGAGAGATAGACAAGTGGACCCATGGGCAAACTTGTCTTTAACCAAAGTTTCTCTCCCCGTTTTCATTGAAAAATAATAAAATAATAGAAGAAGTGTCTAGCAGCTAATTACCACTTTTTACAGTATCCATGAGCAAATACACGATCTTCGGGTGTCTCACAGCAAAGACCACAATCTTTGAGTGTCCTGTACCAAATTTTGCCTAAATAAATAAGTTCTGAATGACTATATACCTATTAATGAATAAAAATATATTTTATTATACAATTGATTGCTCGGTTCACACCATCATATTCACCGATTATTAATACTAACTGTCCATTAAACTTCCTATAAACTCTCTTAAGTTGTCACGTGGCATCCTCACAAACGCTCTTAGGCTGCCATGTGACGCTCTAATAAATTATAGAAAATTCTAAAAAAACAAAATATCTAACCCTTAATATTCACTTAAATTAGTGTGTCCAATATTACATAACTACTATTAGGAGTGTATTCGAGCGCTAAACATACATCAGCCCAGGCCCACCCCACCCCACGTCCCGTCATCCCACTTCTACCGTTGTCGGAGTAAACAATTTACTCCTATCGTGCGCCTCTACCTCCCATCTTTACTCGAGTAAACGATTTACTTCAATAATAAAAACAACTTTCCTGCTTCCGATCCCACACCACGTCCCATATCGTGCTCCCACCATTATCGGAGTAAATGATTTACTTCGATAAAAACAACTTCTCTGCTTCCGGTATATATTCTATTTTTCCCGTACCCAACCAACCACTCTCGACCCCACTTCATTTTTTTTCTTTTTTTCGGATCTGAATCGATCCACCATCTCAGTCCACAGATCAGTGACACACCATGGAGGAGGACGATGACACCGTGGCGGTTGATGGCGGTGGCCGGTGGTGGTTGAGGCGACGGCACTACTTCGGGCCTCGCTGTCGGACGCTGGGCAGCACCTTAACCAAGAAGGAGGTATTCACCTGGACCAATAGCAACAACCAACAGCTGCTCCACGTCAGCGATATTGATAGAACAAGCAAGTAAGGAAATGATACTCTGATTTGCATCTACATACTCTCCTTCAACTTCGTGCATGAAGCCCCAATATTTTTTTTTGCAAATCAAATTAACGTGCAATCTCCAATATTACCTGATCTCAATTGATGGGCTGCACAATTCATACATTTGCACATCGTGCTCCATGTGGCTGGCTGCAGAGGATAGGGTAGAGTCCGCCGGTGATGGAAATTGTTTGCTATTTTTCTTTTGCTCGTCATCTCCATTGACATGAAGGAGAATGTTTTTTGCATTTTTTTCATGCTTACTAGATGATGGATGGCTACTAGTGCGCAACGTCGAGCTCATCTCTAGACCATACCGCTACATCCTTCCATGATTTCATAATCGACTACTGCTCGCTACCTGGTTGCCATCTCCACTACCAGTCACAAGACACAGACAATCCTCTTCATCCTTATGGCAAGATCCAGCAAAGCCACTAGATGGATTTTTGACTAAATCTTCTTTTTTTTTTCTAATTTGATTCACCTGTGAGTATTTTTATCTCTTGCGTGTGATTGAGCCTGTAATTTTTTCATTCATACGACTATTTTGTGATATAGATCAACAATATTCTTAGTACTAATTTTTACTCTTATATTGTATATTGAACACATTAGTAAACATATTACTACACGGTGGCTACGAGATCATGGCTATATCGAGAGGAAAGTGGTAACTGTTTTACTCGCAGACCACGGAATGTCTTTTGTTTACTCTTATACTGTATATTGAAAACATCAGTAAACATATTACTACATGGTGGTTACGAGATCATGGGCTATATCGAGAGGAAGGTAGTAATTATTTTACTCACAGACCACGAAATCTAAACAATATTTATAATATTGGTAAAAGAATTACTAGTGTTGTCGACGGGTGATACCCGTAGACCGGATATAGAGGGTATTGGGGTACGTTGGTACAAGGATCTACGTAGTACGACATCAAGCAAACAAAAGACGAGAATTATACTGGTTCAGGCCCCTTGATAGGTAATAGTCCTAATCCAGTTGATGTGGGATTATATGGTGGAAAACACAGGTTACAAAGGGAACAATGGAACTTGTCGGATCCGGCGAGATCGTAGTCGAGTTGGTTCAACTAGATCTCGATGGCTTGGCTCCTTGCAGGCTCTGGCTTCATAGGCTGTGTGGGTTGTGTTGGCTCTGAGATTCGATGCCTTAGGTCCTCCCCGGGGGGTCCCTTTTATATTGCAGACCTGGAGGTCTCCAAGTAGAACTCGGAGATATCAGACCCTGTACGATACATTAACGACCCAATCTTGTCCGAGTAGGATTCTTCCCATCCATAGATTCTGTGAAGGATTTCCTTAGAGTACGCAGGAAGTATCCGTATGCGCGTGGATATACCATACCGATATGTAACGTATATTAAAGGGTAAAGGGTATGCCTAACCCGTAGCCCTGACAGTAGCCCCCGACTTCTGCTTAAAATGAACTCGTGTAACCATTCGCGACTTCGGGTGTCGAGACTGTTGTCGTTCCTAGTGCGAGGACCGCGGAGACAGGCCGTAGTCGAGCACGCCATTTGAAGCCCAACGGTCACGAGCGAATTTTAAACTAAGTCCAAAAAACCGCCGCGCGTAACGGACCCAGAAATTTCCGGCAGGCATCTCTCTCTGTTCCTTGGAATTCGCACCGTTGGTAGTGCGCCTATTTAAAGGAATGTTGGGGATCCATTTTGAAGTCCGCCCACCGTGCAGAAAATATTCCACCTGTAAGCGCTCTTCGCCTTCTTCACCGCCACAAGAAACCCTAGTTCATCAACCTAGGCCCTTTCTCCGGCGATCTTCGATTAGCGATGGACCTCAGGAAATCATCTTCCACCAGTGCGTCGCTGAAGAAGCTTCAGGAAGACGGCGCCCTTCCCGGTCGTGGAACCATGGAGAGGGAAGCAGGAGGTACTAATCCCCAGCCCGTCTTAGGTCGCATGGTTGCGATCGAAGACTATATTCTCTGCGGTTTTCTCCCTCCGCCTTCCGAATTCCTTCTCCTAGTTTTGAACTTCTATGGTCTTTCTCTTCTTCATTTGAACCCCAATTCTATCGCTTTTCTTAGCATCTTTGCTCATCTTTGCGAGGCCTACATTGGTGTAGAGCCTTTTCTTGATCTCTTTCGCTTCTACTACGAGCTGCGTTGGATGGAGTCCAACAGGGTATCTGGTTGCGTCGGGTTCTGACTTCGGGATGGCCTGAAGTCGCGTTATATCCCCTTCCAGTGCCCTTCTTCTCACAGCAAATGGCGGAATAGGTGGCTCTATCTTGAGATCAAAGATTCAGACCCTGTCTTCGTTGTTCCCAAAGAACAACCTGACAAGATTTCGTCTTGGACCGCAAAGCCCCCCTTGACCCCCTCTCTTCAGTCGTTTATCGACATCATCGACGACTTCCGAGTACGGGGCTTGTCGGGGTATGAAGTCATTGCAGACTTCGTTGGTAGGCGGATCCAGCCGTTCCAAGCTCGGGCCCATCCAGCCTTTAACTATTCCGGACCGGAGGACGCGACCCGGGTTTCTCCTCGGGGTATCTTTCTCGCATTTTTCTTGACATGTGTACGTTCGCGTTCCTCTTGATTTATCGAAGTTTGGTTCTCGATTCACAGGTTTGAACAGCGAAACCATGGAGCGCCGCGTCGACCAGGTGATGATCAGTGGTCTGACAACGGCGAGTGACATCCCCGTGCCCCTTTGTGAGAAGGGGGCAGCCGAACGCAATGACGCTATCAACGTAAGTGTACTCGATAGGCATCCCGCATTTTCCTTTCGAGATCACCTTAAGACTTGATTAAGCGTAGGCTCTTCCTCTGACTGACATCATCGGGCCGCTCGCGGACCATCAGGTGGCGGCGTCTCTGAAAGAGAAGGCGCCAAGGAGGCGTCTGATGCTGCTGCTGCCACAACTAGCGGTCGCAATGTTCCGACAAAGGGGAGGAAGTTCTCCTCTGTAAGCGGACATCGTCGCAAGGCGTCGACCCCCTGGGTAATTTATCCTGTCGTCAGATCGTGCAGCCAGAAGGATTTTGCCTTACTTTGCATTGATTGTCTTTCAGGCCTCGGACGCGTCTCCCCCGCCTCCACGACGACAACGTATTGTGACGATTGGCGAGAAGTAAGTAGATGAACTTTTAGATTTCCGTGATTCTATTCAAG